TCTCCATTCTCCTCTCGGGATCTTGGGCACACACGCACACGCGCCCGGCGTGAGTTTTAAGCCACCGGGTCCGGGACACGAACCGCGGTCGACTACGTGGGAGTCCAGCGACATAGCCATTACGCTAACTGCTGGTTCCCGAAAAACATTTTTTAAAGAGGTATGACTGAGGACTCCTGGAAGTTCTTGCCTAAATACAGCAAGTGGGCCAAAGATAGATGAGGAAGGGAAGAGAGAGAAGGGGTCTCTAAGAGTTCTGTTCTGTGTTCCAACTGTGCTACAGGTTTCCTGTTGATATAGTGCTATCTGGGACAGTGACTAACAAAGACATTAACTGCCTCCTCCCCACCCCCCACAGGCCTAGTTAAATATCAAAATAGGCACAAATAAAATTTAAACTTTCAATTGCTCAAGAATGGGTCAGCTAGGTGGTGTGGTGGTTAAAGCAGCTAGGAGACCCTACAGGGCCAACTGCGAGTCCTGGACCCGGTGGCTTGAAAAACACGCAAGGAATCCCAAGAAGAGAATGCAGAAGAAAGGACTGTGCTGTGGTCATTTCCCCAGGGGACTGCTTTCTCACTTTCTCACTCTTTCTCTTGTGAGCACATGTACCCTATAGCAAATTAAAAAATAAATAAATAAATGGCTAGTTAGCTTAAATGAGAACCTTAAATGGCAATTCCTTATTGCACTCATCATGCCACAGGTACCTGATGCCAACTGTATCAGGTGCAAAGCCCTATGGAAACAGCTGTAGAAGAAACACAATGTCCCCACCATCCTGGGCATACATTTTCCTATCAGTAAAACACACAGGACGAATACAAGGGAACTTTAAAAAACTTACTTTGGAAAGTAAAACTGAAATTCAAGTACAAATTTATTTTTTTTTGGAAAAAAAAATGTTTGCAATCTATGCATACTTTTCTCATAATACTTATTTTCCATAAACTTCTTGAAGACTCCTTGTAATTAAAATGTCAGATTTTTTTAAAAAAATGAACTTTTGATTAAAACTCAAGACTGCCAAACCTCTTTTTTTAAAAAAATGAACTTTCGATTAAAACTCAAGACTGCCAAACCTCTTTTCTGTCCAGAGAAGTGTGACAAACCACTACCGTAGAAATGTGATTACTGGTCACTATGCTTTTCTAATTTTAAACAGCATTTCTTTCTTTAGTTGTAAGCGGTAGAATTATCTTCCAATCTTAGAAGAAAAAAAAAAGAAAACCCTAATTTTTTGCACGATGTTCTGCACTGGTGTAGATACTCTGCACTTGACACTTAGGCAGAGACTGATAAAACTAACCAGAAGACAAACTATGGGCACTAGTGGCAAGCCATGCAAGACAAAAGCTCAAAACAAAAACAAAAATAAAACAGAGGGGCTTTTCAAAAAGTCATTCAATTTTTATTTGTGCTGCACATACATGTGATTCTTAAAAAAGGGAAGAGGGCAAAAAAAGTTTTGCCAGCTAACTTAACAATGTTATTCAACATAGCAGGTTTAACTCTGCTGCTTTCCAGATCATTACAATAAACAATGGTTCAACATATGAGGAATCCAGAAATGTATCATCTCTGGGCAGGACACATGGAATCATTGAATTGTAATTTAGATGCTGGATCTAGGCCACGGAAAGGCGCTAACTAATCCTAATTTTGAAGCTTTAAAAAGCACTTCCATTTACAAACAAAATCAGGTAGGTCTCCTCCCACCCCCACCCCCTCCCCTGGAAAATTCAGCTGTAATGTGTTTCAATTTATCACTTTCAAATGGGAGAGGAGAGGCAGGGGAGTGAGAAGGCAAAGTTGGGTAGGTTTAAGACACCTGGATGAGGTAGAGCAGAACCGAACATCCTGAACACCTGATTTCTAACAGCAACAGACCTACTAGGATAACAGTCCGCTTCGTATCAACCGGAAAAGCGAATCTTGAGACGGGACAGCAGATCTGATAGTCACCAGTCGGCAAACTATCAATAGACTGAGAACTCACAAACCAGAGTGTCACACAATGCTCACACCCTCCCAGCGCCGGACCCGTGTTGGCTGAATGAAGGGGGAAACTCGAATGACTGAATGAATGAGAAAGCGGTCCAGCCAGAAGGTTATGGTCCGCGCCGCCCTGGACGCTATGCCGACAGGGCAGGGGCGGCTCCCGGGGCAGGGAGGCGCCGGGTACCTCCGGGAGAGGTCCAGGACGCGGACCATGACGGGGCCGGGGACCAAGGGCGCTGGTCGGACCCGGCCGAACAAAGGCGGCGCGGGGTGGCCTGACAGGGCGCCCGGCGGGGGCGGAGGCCGGGGCCGCGGGCGCTCACCTCGTCGCCCCACTTGAGCACGTCCTTGTGCCGGTCCTTGACGGCGTGGTAGATGTGCAGGAACTGGAGGATCCCGTGCCGCCGCACGTGGTCGGCGTGGCGCTGGGTCTCCTCCCAGCTCAGCGGGGAGCCCTGGGACAGCAGCCCCATGGCAGTCCCTTCCTCCTTCTCGCGGCGGACGGCGGCCGCTCGGCCGTGGAGTGGGGGGGGGGCG